ATATTTGGGGTTTATACCATTGACCTCCTCCAAGTCAGGAATTGTTTTTTGGAATTTAAAGAATATACCACAAAACTTGGCACCAGATAAACAGTTGATAAATATTTTGGGAACAAATAAGTCAGTGCATGAATGGGCTGTCTGATCATCTGTGGTCTCCCCCACCCTTTTATTATTATGGTAAAATACACAACATAAAATTTACCATCTTAACCATTGTAAGTGTACAATTCAGTGGTACTGAATATACTCTCGATATTGTGCAACCATACCACCACCCATCTCCATTGCTCTTTCATCTTAAAACACTGAAACTCTATAACCAGTGGGAAAAAAAATACCCTTCAAATTAATGGAGGTGAAATAAAGACATTTCCAGGCCAACATCCACTCTGTCTTTGAACCACACCACCACGTCATATTACTGTGGCCTCTGCACCTTTTCTCTCCACGGACACCCTTCCGTTCCATGAACTGATTTCCTTCTTTAGGAATCATGTACCGATGAGCGACCCGGTAGGACACATCTTAAATGCAATTGCCAGAAACTCACAGAAGGGCTCCCATGACCTTCTACAACTCTCCAGTGGCTCCTGCTCTTTCCACTGTTCGTGATCTCCTCCAATTTCTACTGGCCTCGGCCTCCTTAGTGCTCAGCGGCACCTGGTAGACAGCCGCCCTCTCTCACCGACCCTCTCTCACCGACTTCCTCACAGTTGCTCTCTGCCTGATAGGACTCTTGGTTTCTTGGTTTGTTTTCAGTTGTTGTTTTGTACCCCACTTTTCTAGTTCTTGGGAGATACCATGGGTTTGCTAGAAGCTACTTTGTCAGCCAGAAACAATAGTTCTCATAAACAGTAGTTTATTCTTCATATTAATACTGTTTTCTGGAGAGTGTGTTGTGCAGAATTCGACCACCTGCCTCAGAATAGAGTGCCATTGCCAGCTTAGTGGGTGGGCTGCCTGGACCAGCGGAGGTGCCAGGGGCCCTGGGCTTTCATTGGCCTGGCCACCCTGCCCTTCGCCTTCCATTTTCCGGTAGATGTTCCTCCTTGCTTCCATTGTGTAGTGTTCTGTATTTATTTTAGGGTGAAAGCACTAGTTCAATCAAGTCTTTGAGTGGATGAATATTTTAATATAGATAGTAAAAATTTAATAAGCCACTAATATTCAAATTTTATATTAAAAGAGTACAATAATAGAAGGCACAGTGAAACCTAAGCTTTAAAAGTCTGTATTTATATGAATCAAGAAAAATGTCTGATAAAAAGCTATTATAAATATCATGGTTTGTCTTTTATTTTACCTTTATTTCATCTTGACTAATAAGCATTGGTTAGCCGGGTCCGTGTGGCTCAGTGGTTGAGCATCGACTCATGAACCAGGAGGTCATGGTTCAATTCCCAATCAGGGCACATGACTGGGTTGCGGGCTTGATCCCCAGTAGGGGGCGTGCAGGAGGCAGCCAATCAGTGTTTCTCATCATTGAAGTTTCTATCTCTTTCATCCTCTCCCTTCCTCTGAAATCAATAAAAAATTATATATTTTTAAAAAGCATTGTTTAAATGTATCATTTATGTTTGATTGTGGGGAAAATGAAATGTGTTAAAAACTATCTACATTATAGTTTTGAGTATAATCATAAACATAACTATTAGAATGTAAGTGTGTTATTAACGTAATTCACATTTATAAGTGAATTATCAACATCCATATACCTTAACCTGAGAATCAGACATGAAATCCAGAATTAGCAGCAATACTCCCAGATTCCTTTTTTCATTCCTCTTCACTTTGCTATTGTAATGAAAGGCTCTGGGGCACAACCGTGGGCAAACTACGGCCCGCGGGCCGGATCCGGCCAGTTTGAAATGAATAAAACTATTGAAAAAAAAGACTGTACCCTTTTATGTAATGATGTTTACTTTGAATTTATATTAGTTCACACAAACACTCCATCCATGCTTTTGTTCTGGCCCTCCGGTCCAGTTTAAGAACCCATTGTGGCCCTCGAGTCAAAAAGTTTGCCCACCCCTGGGCTAAGATATGTTTAATAATGTGTTTGATGGGAAATAGCTGCTACATAGTCAAGGAGGGAGGGCCCATCTTAGACTTGTGTTTTCATCTTATCCTCTGTGTTAACCGTAAGGATGCCCCTGGCAGACCTCCAACTAGAGGGAACTTGAATGACCAGGGGCCCCTGTCACTGTGCTCTGTGATCGGGGCTGCTCTGCAGGTAGGGCCCGGGAGGAGCAGGGATGCCCTGGGAGGCAGGAACCACTCTGCGGGCCGACTGGCTCCAGCACCTTCTCTCTGGTGGTTGTGCTGAGCCTTCCCCAGATGGCCAGCAATCCAGGAGGATCCCACCGAGCCCCCCACTCTGTCCTCCACTCAGGAGGGGGCAGCCAATCAATGATTCTCTTTCATCATTGATGAGTCTATCTCTCTCTCACTCTCCCTTTCTGAAATCAATAAAAATATATTTTTTAAAAAAACAAAATAAAAAGATACTATCAGGTGAAATTACTAAGGAGAGAAAGGGTATTTACTATAATTTTCATGGCATTAATATACTATTACTGTTAGATATTTAAATTTAGGAAAGTTAAAACTTTATATAATTGAGAGCTAGTCACTCAGAATTTTTTTTTATGGCAGTTTATTGATTGTGTATGTGTAAACTTGCTTTCGGCAGGACTGAATTATTAAAAGTGCTTTAAACATGGTTGATTTACTCAGGAAGACTGGGTGGCTGTGAGGTATCAAGCAGTTCTTAAGCCATGTTCAAGATATCTAAGGATATTTAATAAATTAGAGGCGCATATCTGAGGGTGTATTGATAACTGACATATTGTAGAAAAACAGAATCCTTCGATATAATAGGTATAACAGATGGTTTGTTGTACATATTTGGTAACTCTTGCTTTCAATGTATATGATTTCTACAAGAGTGCCTATGTTTTATGGATTAGTGATGAAATCTTCCTTTTTCTTGCAGAATCAGAGTGAAAGATTCGTTTTCATCACAGAGTGGTACGATCCAAATGCTTCGCTTTTTCGGCGGTATGAGCTTTTGTATTACCCAGGGGACGGATCTGTTGAAATGGTAAATGAGCCTTTCTTTGCTTGGAAGTGGGCAAGGGAGCCAGGGTGGGGTAGGGAGAGGAACGGGCTTGCCTTTTAGATAGTGTGTCCAAAATACTTTTACATGTACATTTTTAATGGGGATTCTTTTCTGGTATTATAATTCCAGTTTATTTTTAAATGTCGAAAAATAGGAATGAACATTTTTTTGGTTAGAGAACTGAGTGGAGTTATCCATGTTTTGGATGAAGTGATAGCAAGTAGCTCTAGGGAAAGCTGGTCATGGTCACAAATACGTCCCCGTTATTGAAAGCTGTCATCTCTGCACAAGGCGCGACTGAAGAAGGTCGAGCTGAGGTCCCTTCCTGGGCAGCCCCTTTGACGGGCGACTCCCTTTGGCATTGGCGGTTTGTTTAGGCGAGAAAGCAGGCGTTGGCGTTTCTCTGGGATGTCAGAGGTAGTGACTTGCTGAGCTGATTCGGCAGTAAACCCATCTTTACAGTCAGGGTTTTCTTAAGAAGTAGCACATTTGTAAGGAGAATTTCTTATGTTATTACCGGAGTAGACTCTGAAATACAGAAGTTATAAAAGAAATTACAGTCTGCATTTGTAGCGAAGTGAAGCAGAATGTAGCCTGTGTTTAATAATGTAGTAGGGAGGGCTCTTCCTAATCTCGGAGACGAACATTCCCTCTGATCGCTGATGTCGGTCGGCTCTAGCATGACGTGAAGAACCGCCGCACCTTCCTGAAGCGGACCAGGTATGACGGCCTCCACCTGGAAGATCTGTTCATCGGCAACAAAGTGAACGTCTTCTCCCGGCAGCTGGTGCTGGTTGATTACGGCGACCAGTACACAGCTCGCCAGCTGGGCAGCAGGAAAGAAAAGTAAGGAAACCGTGCGATCGTCTTTTCTTTTCATTCTGTAAACGTTGACTGGGGACCAGACTTTGTGGTGGTTCTATTTTTGTTTTTGTTTTTTTCTATCTTGTTCTTACAATGTAGACATTTTCCAGTGGTCCCGTTCAGTGTGGAGACACGTTTAGAATTCCGTGGACCGGATTCTGGGATTTCTTCTCCACTGGCTCCCAGGGTGATGCCCGTAGTCTTAGGCAGTGATTCTTTCTGCAGGAAAAAATGCAAACTTTCTCCACCTTCAGCAATCGTAGTAGCAGACCTCCAGCTGGAAACAACATTGGAATAGAAAGGGTTTTGGTGTATGGGATAAACATGGCTTATGGGGGAAAGCAGTACCTTAAGCTCTAGACTTTCATTGGTAGATATGCATGTACATTTAAATATGTTGTGTTGTTGGTATTTTTGTACATATTTCTACCATTTTACTCCTCTTTTCTTTTTTAGTTGAGGTATAGGTTTGTATCTATCAGGTCAAATTTGTGATTGTGGTGTTCACACCTTTCACATAGTCACGAATTTTTCCCTAGCTAATTTTATCAATTACCAAAGTTTTGTCAAAATGCCCCACTATACTTGTCATCTGCCTACTTTTCCTCATAGTTATGTTCATCTTTATGTTGTAATTTTGAGGATATGTCACTAGGTTTTTAAATCGTTAAATCTTCTTGGAAAATTGAACTTTTGCTATTATAAAGAGACGGTCCTTATCTCTAGCGATGGACTTAGCCTTGAAGTCTCCCTGGTGATGCAGTAGCTGCCCTGGCTTTCCTCAAATGATGCTTGCATGGTCTGCCTTCTTTCATCCTTTTGTAAAATTAATTAATTATTTTAATCCTCACCTGAGGACATTTTTTCCATTGATCTTTAGAGAGAAAGTGGAAAGGAAGAAGGAAGGGCAAGAGAGAGGAAGAGAGAGGGAGAGAGCGAGCAAGAGAGAAACACTGATACAAGACACACCGATTGGTTGCCTCCCACATGTGCCCCCACTGGGGATGATTGCCATGTGTCTATGTGTGTGGGATACCTGTGTGTTGTATGTTGTTATGTGAAGTAGTTGAGATACAGGGTGAAGTGAAGTTCCTTCTGGGAGGGACTGTTGCCAGGAGGCATTGTAGCAACCTGGAGGACCGCTGAGTTCACAGTTGGAAGTTCCCAGACCACCTGGGTGAGGGGACTTGTGCTGCCAGACCATTCCAGGCCTTCTACCTGTTCACCCTCAGAGTGGACTGCCCACCCCGCCCCTCCCCCAGGGACCTGGGAGTTTAAAGTTCAGATCCGCCCAGCAGGCGTTGCTGCCAAGTTTAATGCAACTTTCATTCCCATTTCTCTGAGTCCCCATTTTTCTTTCATTTTTGTAGCAATAATTGTTTAATACCCAATCAGTTTATCTTTGCTTTAGAAAAATACTTTGTCCTTATTTTTAGTTTTCCATGGAAGGATGGCTCTGAATAGCTTTGCATTGCTGTGCGTGGAAAGCTAGGGCTCTGCCCTCCCCTCCAAACCACAGCTGTCTCACGAGACTTCTCCTTCCCCCTGGGCAAGCACACACTCCACCCTCGCAAACAAAACTTACAAGAAACTGTAACTGGGCCTAGGGTTGCTGTTTTAGGACGGGTTCTTCATGCTTAGGGAGAGGATGAGTGCCTTTGGAAACACTCACATAAACGAATGTGGTTAAAGTTGGCGTTCCTGCAGGTGGGCAGCATCCAGGATGTCGCTGGGACAGTGTGTGATTGGCCATCTTCATTGCGTCCATCTTCATCAGTTTCCGTTCTGAGCCTGAAGGTGTAGGAAGAACATACTTTCTGCATGGCTGTGAGAATTATCGCTTTTCAGAAACCCCTAGCCTGCCTGAATCTGGTGAAGGCTGGCCAAACTTTTTCAACTCGCCACTGCTAAGAAGTTTTAATGTCAAAGGACGGTTTTCATCTTTCTTGGTTTTCTTCTAAGAGCGTGTCATGCTGTGTGCTGCAGAGCTTGCCTCAGAGCAGGTGAGGGGAAGGTCAGTACGGTGATGCCCCAGGGGCCACCCTTCCAGGCTGGCTGTCCCTCTCACCTTGACTCTGGGCTTCACTGTGTATCTAGCATTGGCCAAAGAGGCAGCAGCAAGTGTGCTCAAGGGGGTGCTTGCTAAGTGCAGGTACACGGGACACTGCGGCTGTGCATGAAGGAGCCCGGCCTGGCCTCCTTAGGATGAAGGGCCACAAGGAAGGAGAAGCCTCGCCCCCAGCGAGCCCCCAGCCAGACGCAGCTGCGTGAGCAGCCCCAGGTGAAACCACTGCCCAGCCAACCCACAGGATCCTGAAGAAGGGGTTTAAGCCGCTGCATTTGGGGTGGTCCTCCTACAGCCGCAGAAAGCAGGGCACTGTTCATACTGGTGCCACTCTTAAATGACGCACGTGATTGCTGATGCCCGTCTTATTTTCCCTCCAAAGTACATTTTAATTGTCATCTACGGAACAGTTAAGCAGAAAAGATATGACCGGGGTTTAGAGTTTTAATTGCAGTAAGCAACCCTTTGTCTCCTGTGGGCGTTGAAAGAAAAATCAGACTGCATCTTAAACTAAGTCCTGTCCGTTTCGTGTTTTTCATGTTGCTTCTTGTTCGCAGGAGACGATGAGTGCTGATGCGTCTGTGTTTCAAGAGCTGTGGTTCGCGAAAGTTCTAGAGTTCAGCATAGACAGTTGATGGGTTTGGCTTGTCATATTTAAATAATGTGAGCTAAAAAGGGACTCATTTTCATTGTGTTCAATGAAGCCATATCATATAAAATACTGTAGGAGACTCATCTGCTTCAAAACAAAGAAGAAAGATAGTCTGGTGCTGCTGGTACTGAACAGACCAAGATGAATAATTTGTTTTTCAAAAGTTTTAACCTCCAGCCATAAGTTACATCCAGCTGCGAGACTGTTTGAATCATGGGACTCTCAGCCAAGTGCGTCTCATTGAAGAAAAAAATCCCAACCAATCTCCGTTTGTGGGTCTGTGAGTTAATGTCGTGTCGTACAGCTGAAAAGGAAGTGGAAGTGGCTGCTGTTCTTGACCATAGTCTTGTGTCATATACACTGAGCGACTCCCACCACTCTGATTTTCATCTTGCATTTGTAATTATTTCCAAATCAATGGAGAGCGTCCATGTTAAAGCCAGTGAGACCAGAAATCAGGCTGGCAATAGTAGCCTTCAGGGTGTTGTGAGGATGTTCCTTTTAACAACATTAAGCGTGACAGCACCTGTGGTGCGGGAAAAGTGCAGACTGGGAATGTTATCAGGTGGGTGTTTTGTTCTGAAGATGCCCCTGACCAGCTTTGAGATCTTAGCCAAGTCGCCTTTCTGGGCCCAGCTTTCTCATTAGTAAAATGAGGGCACCCAGGTGATCTCCATCGTCAAATATGTTAGTCCTGTGGCTTCAGAGGGGAGTGCATTGCTCGGGGTAGCCTTGGAGGAGAGAGATTTTAAAAATTAGGGTGGGCCCGGCCAGCGTGGCTCAGTGATTGAACGTTGACCTATGAACCAGGAGGTCATGGTTCAGTTCCCGGTCAGGGCACGTGCCAGGTTGTGGGCTCAATCCCAGTGGGGGGCGTGCAGGAGGCAGCCTATCAATGATTCTCTGATCATTGATGTTTCTCTCTCTTTTTTCACTTCCTCTCTGAAATCAATAAAAATATATTTAAAAACAAAAGTTAGGGTGGTGTTTATTGACCATGATCATCACCAAGTGTGAAAGCGTTTGGTTCTTTGTGCGCCACTCATGCTGTGAATATGAATGTGAATAATATTTAGTTATTAATAGAAGAACTTATAATTATTTCCAATCAATGGATAGCATACATGTTAAAGACAATGAGACCAGAAATCAAGCTAATAATATATTTAATACAACATTTTTTCCTTTCATAAAATGTGTTCTAAGAAGTAGAACTTTTTAAAAAGCATTTTCCAATTTTGGCACATTAAAATGACAATTTTAATGTATTTTCTCCTAAGCTAATATTATTATTATTGTTATATTGTGTACCTTATTTTGGTTTTCTTGGGGGAAAAAATAGTTACCTTAATTTGCAGAAGTTTTTAAGAGACCTTCAGTGCACTTCTTTTACAATTTACTAGAGGCCCAGTGCATGATATTCGTGCATGGGGTGTGTGGGGGGGACGGCGGTGTGTGTGTCCCTCAGCCCAGCCTGCACCCTCTCCAATCTGGGACCCATTGAGGGATGCCCAACTACCCTGTGGGATCGGGCCTAACGGGCAGTTGGACATCCCTCTCACAATCTGGGACCTAGCTCCTAACTTTTCACCTGCCTACCTGCCTGATTGCCCCCTAACCACTCGGGCCCGATTGCCCCCAACTGCCCTCCCCTGCCAGCCCGATTGCCCCCAACTGCCCTCCCATGCCAGCCATCTTGTGTTCACATGGGGGCAACCATCTTGTGTGTTGGGGTGACGGTCAATTTGCATATCACCTCTTTATTAGATAGGATTGTGATGTTTGAGTAGGGAGACAACCACTGCGTGGGAATTAAAAGTAGAATCTGCTGAGCTACTTTCAAACTTCTTTCTTTCTTTGCAGAACTTTAGCCCTGATTAAGCCAGATGCTGTTTCAAAAGCTGGAGAAATAATTGAAATAATAAACAAAGCTGGATTTACTATCACCAAACTCAAAATGATGATGCTTTCAAGGTAATTTGTTGATAATTTTTAGTTATGCAATGTCTAGTTCCCTTTTTTTAAAAAAATCATCTTTTATCATTCATCTCATTGTTGAAAATTTTAAAATCTCACACTGAATGACAAATAAAATACTTATCTAATTAGAATGAGAAAATGCAAGGCAGCTGGTGAGCAGTAGCTGTCAGATGCTCCTGCCTCCTTCCCTGTGTGTTGTCTTGCACAGCCCCATCTGCTGTTATAACTCCCTGTGATCTCCTAACACATCAGTAGAACACTGTATAGAAATGCAAGAAGGAGAAATGAATGTTGCATTATTCCCATTGATATGGGAGTGTTATCGTTGAGATTTTCAAAAGTGATGCATTTGGAAATGTTTGTATTTAGCTCCACCCAACCAACATATATGTAATTGAGAAATATACCTGTTTACTCTTCCATTCTATCTGAGCAGGTGTTTTCTAAGTTGCTTAGTGAAAACAAGACTTTCCTATAGCAGGGGCATTAGTGTGGCAGGTAGGCGAGACTGGGTCTGTTACTCCACTAGTTTAGTGTGTTCAGGGTCAGGTCTCTTCTCACTGCTGTTTTGATATCTAATCCACCAGACAGTTGCTTTTTTGTCTGCGTGTACAGGGACATGGATAGCAGCAGCTATTCAACATTGCATTCCCAGGAAACCATTACAAAACACCCTCAATTTAACCCCAACAAAGACAGACGTTTAATTTGCATTTTTCCCCCTATGTGAGATCTCCCAGTTCCCTATTTACCAGGAAGGCAGGAGGCTTCTATTTCAGAGCATAGAGCCTAAAGCTAGTTTGCTTGTACCTGTGCCACTAACCAGGTGTGTGATTGTGAACAATTGATTTCTGTGCTTCAGTGTCTTCATCTGTGAAATGTAGGTCATCATAGCACCTGTGCCAGAAAGTTCCTATAGGGCCAACATGAGTTTACTGTGTGTCAGGTGCTTTGAGAAACCCTGGCCCATCGTAGGTATACCTCTGTGTTAGCTGTTACTAGCAGTAGCATTAGTACTAGTGATATCATTATTATTTCGTGGAAACCAAGGTCATGACACTTTATAAGTGGTCCCATTTGTCCCATTTCTGTAGGCACTGAGATGCTTGCCTTCTAGCAGGCAATGGGACTGGATTATGGAGATGCATTTCCGTAGTTTCAGGGAGATGGAACATTTTTTATGTCGCCACACTTCCAGTGCCTGGTACTTGGGTATCAAACTTCCCATGCCAGAGATGCCCAAGAAAACTTCTTCCCCTTGTTCATGCCATCTCATGCATCTCTATTAACACTACTGTCACGTCCTGGCTTTTACCCAATTCAGAAGCTAATGAGGTAGTCTGTTACTCTTTCATGGGTGCTGCAGAAGGCAGGAGATGTCTGGGTCAAAGACAGAGGACCTGTTGTGGCACAGCAAGCAGCGTGGACGTCATGTTTGTGTTGGTTCCTCTTACCTCCTCCAGGGCCATGGAAATAATGTGATATGGGCCCTGGTGGGTGTTGTATGCACAATTGATTACATCGCAGTGCGGAGCATTGAACTTGGGTTACCACTGTTTCATCAGAAGCAGTAAACAAGCCTGCTCTTTGTACTGAAGAGAGACATGACCTCATCCCTCAAAGATAATCACCATGAACAGGACTCTGAGAAGTGGCAGCATAAAGAGCAGTCAGGGCCTCGAATTCCTAGCTTATCCAGTGAGACATGCTAGGTGCACCGGAGACCCATTGGAGGATCTGACAATACTTCAGTCTTCTCTGAACTTACTGGCTCCAGCGTCAGTCCCTCCATTAGCATAGGATCTTAAAGGCAGCAGCCAAATTTCATCCTACTTGGTCTTTCTAGTTCTTGGGTCAAGGCTTCAGTCGAGGTAGGCACTCAGTAAATACTTCATGGAAGAATCAGTAGTTAGATCCTCTGAGAGACTGGTGCGTTCCTGACTGAAACAGCAGCTCTTCTCTAGGTGGTGATACTCTTGTTAGTATCTCTTCCATTAAAACGTTTTAAGGAAGAATGAGATAAGAATGATGGGGAAAATTCATGAATTCTCAATGTGGTTTCTGTTTTAGATTTTGAAAGGAGATAACTGCCGGGCCAGGGACATGTAGGAAAAAATAATGAAACAGTTTTAGTAGTTTATTAAGATTTTTCTTCTTTTCATTGATATTAAAGATTATGATTGTGTGTTTTTCTCTTTTAGTAGTTCAGTTGTGTTGAAAGGTAGAATTGGTTGTTTTGTAGTCTTGCTGCTGACTTTTCTAAAATACCACATTAATGAGTTTTTCTGGCATGCAGTGTTACCTCATTATAGACTGCAGTACATATATCCATTTCAGTTTTGTGAATTCTTCCCCTTACACTCTAGAATTTGTTTTTTGAAGTTGGTAATATGGCATAAGTACTGGGGTCCAGGGGTTCCCAAAGGTGTGGACGGAGTCGGCGAAGAAGGAAAGACTCGGAGACAGTGTTCAGTTGATGTAGAGGTCAGCGATGGCCACTACCATGCCAAATCCAGTGACCAGTTCTCAGTCTGTATTTTATTTAATCTTTCAGTGCATTTGACAAAGTCCTTTTTAAAATCCTGTTTTCAATATTGCTTTTTCTTTCATCTCCCTGCTTATTCCTCCCTCATAGTTTTCTCGGCTAGACAATTCTTGATTTTCTGACGTCGGAATGTCAACTGTCAAATTAGCATGTTTAGGGCGTTTCTTATCTCCATTCCAGGGAGTAAAGATTATGTACTTAAGCATGATTGTTCGTAGTTAAAGAGATTAATTACCCACCTGGCACTTAGTAACAGTATGCCATATATGCCAGGTCCCTTGAAACAGCAAGGATGGACCAGCTCCCGGCACATAAGCAAAACATGGAAAGGACGGGGTATTTGTGCAGAATATTTGGTTAAAAAATAATTCACATTCAGATCAAATCAATAGAGGGTTTTATTTTTATTTTATTAATGTAAGCTAAAATAATTCTCGTATGTAATTGCTAACTGTTGTCATTTTTATTATTTTATAGGAAAGAAGCAGCAGATTTTCATATAGACCATCACTCAAAGCCCTTTTTTAAGTAGGTACTGAATTGGAGGCTAATGGAGAATATTCTGGAAAATGAGAGTCATAGTTTTACAATTAAAAGTTTTGTTATATGAGGATAATCTGTCAAAAAGGACCCCAGCAATATCTTGCAACCGTAAAGAAGTATTTTATTTATTTTTTAATATTTTTTTATTGATTTCATAGAAGAAGGGAGAGATAGAAACATCAGTGATGAGAGAGAATCACTGATCGGCTGCCTCCTGCATGCCTCCTATTGGGGATTGAGCCTGCAACCTGAGCATGTGCCCTGACCAGGAATCGAACCATGACCTCCTGGTTCATAGGTCAATGCTCAACCACTGAGCCATGCCAATTGGGCTGCAAAGAATTATTTTCTAAAACTTGGTTTTTCTGTCCTTATCTCATCATTAAATATCTTAAACTTTAATAAGCAAATAAGATTATTTGTTTAAATTATAAAGAGCATCACTTTCTTTTTAGATTTTAGTAGATTTAACATGGAGTGATAATTATATTTTATGTCTAATATTTATTTCTGCTGTGCTTTTAAACTCTTATTTTGGCATTCTCATATGTATAAATAAATGTTCTTAGAATCCTTACATTTTAAATAATTTTATATACATTTTGTTCTTGAAACATAGCAACAAATATATGTTAGAAACTGAATCTATGTCTTAAATATCTTGGTTGTTTTTATTTTATATTTTATTGTTAATCCTTACCCAAGGATATTTTTCCCATTGATATTTTTTTAAAATATGTATTTTCTTGATTTTTTTACAGAGAGAAAGGGAGAGGGATAGAGAGTTAGAAACATCAATCAGCTGCCTCCTGCACACCCCCTACTGGGATGTGCCCACAACCAAGGTTCATGCCCTTGACAAGAATCGAACTGGGACCCTTCAGTCTACAGGCCGGCACTCTATCCACTGAGCCAAACAGGTTAGGGCCCATTGATATTTTTTTAAAGAGTTGGGAGAGAGGGAGGGAGAGAGAAAGGGGGAGAGAGAGAAAGAGAAACATTGATGTGAGAGAGAAACATTGATTGGGTGCCAACTATGGCCAGGGATTGAACCTGTGACCCTTTGGTGAGAAGGCCGAAGCTCTAACTATCAAGGTACGCAGGCCAGGGCTTGGTTTGTTTTTAAATTTAGTTGAACCTTGTGCATCTTATATTACTACTAGTAGCCCGTTGCACGAAGATTCGTGCAATAGGCCTTCCTTCCCCTGGCTGCTGGCACCGGTTTTCCTCCTGCACCCGGGACCTTTGATCCTGCCGCAGCAGCAAGGCTTGGCTTCTCCACTCCTGCTGCTCCCAGCTCCTCCTTTTATTTTTCCAGCTCCTCCAGTGGAGCCCAGGGCAGACTGGAAGCCTGGGTTCCCCACAACAACCCAGGCCCCAGGCGGCCCAGGCCCCCAGCCACTCCTTGAGCGGAGCCCAGGCCCCCTGCCCCACCTTGAGCAGAGTACAGGGCCTGTGAGAAGCTTGGCTTCCTCCATTGCCAGGAGCAACCGAATCCTCCTGCTTACTCCAGCTCCGTGGCCTCCGCCATCTTCAGTCATCTTCAGTCTCTGCTCTGTGCCTGCATATGCAAATTAACTGCCATCTTTCTTTGGTTAATTTGCATAGTCACTCTGATTGGCTGGTGGATGTAGCAGAGTGGTGGAGTGACAGAGTGATGGTTAATTTGCATGTTTCTCTTTTATTAGTGTAGATTGATAAAGGAGCACTTGTATCTCTAATGAAGAAAGATGTTAGCCAAGCTGCTATGATAGGCATGCCATTTGGTACCCTACACAGAATAGGGGTTTAAAAAAAAAGCTTGATATAAGAAATGTATTATGTTATACATTGTTTTAAATCAGGCATTCTAAAATGTTCCTGAACCTTGTTAGAATAGGAACATATAATTATCTTGGAAGTTACTTTTTATTATATTCTTTGTATATGTTTATAGCATTATATTGCAGCTCCTGATGTAATGTGTTACATGTAATTAGTATGTGGTGAATTTTATCACATATATGAATTAACTAGTTTTCGTGTTGTATTGAGAAACACATAACAAAAGACGTAGCTGCAGTCACGGAGGCAGTGCCACGAAGCACCATCGTTTATGACCGGACATGCTGTTCCTGCGTTCACCTGCCACGCTCATCCTGCGGCTCATCCTGCTGTGTGCTCAGAGAACTGTGCTACTAGGACATTAGATTATAGGTTTCTTGAGGGAAGCTTCTGTTACAGCCTATTCTGATTTGTAGTAGATGATCATTACATGCTATTGAATGGATGAACGTATGTTTCTTCCCTTGACTTAGATTCCTTAAGTCTAATTATTTTGGCACCTGAGGCCTAGTAGAATATGTCTGAGGAGGTCATGTAGGCCTTTTAGGACGGAGTATATCAATACTCCTACGTACATGCTATTTCTTAGAAATATTCAACATGAAAATGATTTTTGAAAATATATTTTTATTAATCTCAGAGAGGGAGAAAGAGATAGAAAAATCGATGAGAGAGAATCATTGATTGGCTGCCTCTTCCTGCATGCCTGACACTGGGGTTTGAGCCCATGACCCAGGCATTTGCCCCTATGGGGAATCAAACCTTGACCTCCTGGTTCATAGGTTGATGCACAACCACTGAGCAACACCAGCCAGGCAGCATGAAATGATTTAAGAAGTCAGTACTGAAGAGGGTTGGCTCATGGAACATGGCTCACCCAGGCAGGAAGTGTGTGCAACAGTCAATAGTTAAAGGCACAGAAGGGCTGCGGTGCCCTGCTCCTCTCTCCAGGAGGGTCCTGGCCGCTCTTGGCTTAGATGAGAGAGAAGCATGGGCTTTCTTTAAAAAGTAGACTGTTCCCGCTAAGCACAGTAGGAGGAACGGTGTCCCTTATCTCACAGTTAAACTTGTCATTGTTGCCTTGTACACAAATAAAAGTAAAAAAATGAGGTTTTGTTTTTCATATCTTAGAGTACTGTCTGACTCGGTGTATGTGTAGCTTTGAAATTGAAGATAGGAATAAGTCACTGCAGCTTTTATGCTAATAAAAGGGTATTTCTTAAAGGCCAATTGATTTTTTTTTATAACTAGACAAACTTAATGCTTATTGATTGAAGCATAGATCAACAGGATGCATTTTAAGGCAGTGAAAGGTCTCAGTCCAATGAAACAGTGATTTTTCTGCTCACAGTAATTGCTTTGATAACACTAGCAATTCAGGCCACTGCAAGGCACTTGATTTATGAAAAATGCACCTTGTCCACGTAAAATCCACTATATCCAATAGTTCTGAGATCTTAATGTCCATGAATTTGTTGAAATACTCAAATTGTAATGTATCCTTGTTGTGAAGAGAGATGCCTAGTCTGACAGAACAATGAAGCAAATCCACCTTTTACCTGTTTCCTAGTGAGCTGATCCAGTTTATTACAAGTGGTCCTGTTATTGCCATGGAGATTTTAAGAGATGATGCTATATGTGAATGGAAGAGACTTCTCGGACCTGCCAACTCCGTGGTGGCGCGTGCGGATGCGCCCGGAAGCATCCGAGCCCTCTTTGGAGCCGACGGCATCAGAAATGCAGCCCATGGCCCCGACTCCTTCGCCTGTGCGGCCCGAGTAAGGTGTTTCCAATACTGTCACTCAGTTTTGGTTTTGGGAACTGTTTGATGTCAACGTTTAGCATTTCCATTGCTACTGATGGAGGGTGGATTGATACAGCTGATCTTGTAGTAGAGAAAACCTTGACCTTTGGCCTGGGATTAGCAGTGTTTCAATGATACATCTCCCTCAGGAGCTGGTAACCTGGTTACGGCCAAGGTAAGTTTAAAATATGTCTCCCACTTCTTGTCCCAAAGACTGAACTTACTAAGGCTCATCAGTGTTTAAATTACGGAGTTTATGTAAGAATACCAGTTGTCAGACAGGGAATATTCAAAAAGAAGGCACCATTGGATATGTTCTCTCCTGGGCTCCTAGCACTCTCTTTCCAAGTTTAACATCTTTTTCTTTCCTACATCTCCCTAGTGTTTATGAAAAAGTTTTCCTGCATCATTCCTTGTTTTAAATTCACACAAATAAGGTATTACACTGGGTTTACACTGACATTGAATTAACAAAGTGCAAATTTATTCTTGGCATCATGAAACATTTCTCAGTTCATTTAAGATGGTTTTTAGTCTGGTCATGTTTGCAGTTAAATAATAATAGACAGTTTTATGATAATTGACTTTTCTTACAAGTTTATTAGTAAATTCCTTCAGCTGGCCTTTCAAACGAGACCTTGAATCTGATCGCTGTGGTCAAATCACCGTTATATTTTCTGGGCTACTGCAGATGCCGCCTGATTTTTTTCTTTTCTCCTGTTAATCAGTTTATGAAAATTTTTTCCTGCCCAAGTAAAATTAACTGCGCCCAGGGGGACCTTCTTAAAAACAAATTGTATTAACAATTGAACTATTGCAAACCCTTCCATGAACTTTTGCCTCTTGTGGAATAGCGTCCAAAGCTCCCCCAACCTGGCCCCTGCCTCTCTCTACACTTAACCTCTCACCAGTCTCCCCTTACTGTGTCCCAGGTGTATGACCACCTTGCTACTCCTAGAATGGCCTTTGGCCTGACTGGTTCAGCCTACAGCAAAGAGGGCAGTGTGGTTGGATGGGGGGAGGGAGGAAGGGCAGATGAGGTCACAGAAGTGGTCATGTGGTCCTGTAGACCCCAGTAGTACAAGACTGTTGGCCTTAATGTATGTTAATTATATCTCAACAAAACTTAAGAAAAACAGTAACAGTACTGCTTACCTGTTACCACTTCCCTGATTCTATGCACGGCACCCTTCCTTGATGCCTGCTTCATGCCCACCACATCCTCCTGATTCTGTATTCAGCCTCCTACTAGACTGGGAATTCTTGAAGATGTCTAATTTATCTTCATACCTCAAGGATCTAGATCACAGGTGTTTTAAAAGTTTTGGAATTAAAAATTATAACAAACCTAATGTTTATCAAGGCTCATTGTGTGTATCACAGGCATAGTTCCAAGCAGTGGAGTGTCTCATTTAAATCTCAGATATCCTATGCAGTTGCTTGTTATCCTAATTTACTGTTGCAGAAGCAGACCCAGTGAGTTTAGGTACCCGGGCCACATGCTTGACCACCCCCTCCACTGCGTGTGCTGAAGTAGTAGCCTACTCACCGTCTTTTAGAATGTGGAAGTCCTGGAACTAGAGAAAAGAAAGTTTGTCATCAATAATCCTGTCAGCAGCATTTACAGTTTACCTATTTATGGCATACTAGCGGCCCGGTGCACGAATTCATGCACCAGTGGGGTCCCTTGGCCGGGCTTGCAGGATCAGGCCAAAACTGGCTCTCTGACATCACCCAAGGGGTCCCAGATTGTGAGAGGGCACAGGCCAGGCTGAGGGACCCTACCAGTGCACGATCGGGGCCATTGAGGGTCACAGGAGGTTGGCCAGCCAGGGAGGTACCGTGGGAACGCCTCTGGACATGTCCAGCTTGTCTCACTCAGTCCTGATTGACCGGACACCAACAGCAAGCTGACCTACCAATCAGAGCATCTGACCCTGGTGGTCAGTGCATGTCATAGTGACTGGTTGACCGGTCAACTCTCTGCCCCCTGGGGTCAGTGCACGTCACAGTGAGCAGTTGAGCAGCCTTAGCATATCATTAGCATATTACGCTTTGATTGGTTGAAGGGACGACTGGACGAACAGACACCTGGCATATTAGGCTTTTATTATATAGGATTCTTCCAGCTCGTTTCCTTGGTCATTTATGTAACCTGCAAAGTAAACACCATTTTACATAGTTTTAACTTAATTGCTTTTTTCACTTAATATTATACCATAAAATTTTTCCATGTCACTAGATTACTGTCAAAAGAGTACATTTTAATGGCTGCAGAATATTCTCTTGGCATGGAAATAACATGATTTACTTAAAAGGTTCCTTTTAAGGTTCCTTAAAAGGTTTGAGGTTTTTCTCATATTTGTAAATAAGGGTGCATTATTCATGCCACTTCGTATTGGATTATTTTCTGATAAAAGGGTTTTTATTTGATATTAGGAGAGTATATAGAGAGAAAGTTTGGTATTTTTCAATGTTTTAATCTGGAGCATTTACAAAAATTATATATATATATACATATACATATACATATATATATACATATATATATGTATATGTATATATATTAGTATATTTTAACTGAATTCAGAGAGTCCCTCCCTCCAGCTGGTCCTGCCCCAATGGGTCCCCATCACTGTCCAGACTGAGGGACCCCACTTGTGCACAAATTCGTGCACTGGGCCTCTAGTCCTATATAATAAAAGGCTAATATGGAAATTGTCCCCACGGGTGAGAGTTTGACTGACCAGGAGTTAGATGTGGCTGACCACCAGGTGGTGGCATGGAACATGGCGGGCATTGGTGACGCAGTGCTGGCAGTGGGTGGCAGTGGAGGTGCTGCCAGCCCCAATGGCCTGACAAGAGCAAGACTGCAGCAGGGGGTGGGGCTGGTGAGTGGGTGGTGCTGGCCAAGGAGGATGTGAGTAGGGGCCCCTATCGCCCCGCCTGTCGCCCCACAGATTGGCCCTGATTACTGTCCAGGCCTAGGGACCTTACCTGTGCACGAATTCTGTGCATCAGGCCTCTAGTATTTGTATAAATTACTCTGTAAAAGTTTGGGAGAAACTTTTAACTGGTAACCATTTATCTTTATAATTAAAGATATGAATATAGATTAGTTGAATGCTTTAGTGAGGTTACCATAGGATCTTATCAAGGTGAAATTTATGAAAAAGTGCAACTATATGCTTTACAATTTGTTAAATAAAATATAGTATAAAAGCAATATACTTAAAGCTTATCAAATTGAGTCTGAATTTTATTTAGGGGAGAAAGTTATATATCTTTGTCCTTCCTTACTGGCTAGTTTAGGGAAAAGTAAAGGCTAACAGGAGAGGAGCTTTATGAGAAATATTTAAGCAGCTCGGATCACAAAGTAATATGAAAATTTTTTGTGTAACTTTACTTTCTGTGAAGTCTCTGAATTAGTAAAAGTGTGCTCTTGCAAATGTTAGCTTGGATTAATAGTCGTAAAAGCTTAGAGATAGGGAAGTGTGTTTAAATAATTAATGGTACTGATGAGTGTGACCATCTTTGACTAGTTCACATGGCTGGGTTGTTGTTTCAGTGAACCACGTGTAAAACAACACAGCCTGGCCTGACCGATGTGCACAATGGTTGGTCAACCCATGAACCAGGAGGTCATGGTCCAATTCCCTATTGGGGCACATCTCTTGGTTGTGGGCTCAATCCCCAGTGGGGGGCATTCAGGAGGCAGCAGATCCATGATTCTCTTTTGTCATTGAAGTTTCTCTCTCCCCCTCTCCTTTCCTCTCTCTGAAATTGATAAAAACACATTTTAAGAAAACACTGCCTGAATCTAGCTACAAAATATGGTTCATTTATTAATTTTATCACAGGACTATAGTGAGTATTTAGTTTTAACTAACAATAGTTTTGATTCTTGATCTCCATTTTACACGGCAAAGTCATTTCTCTCTATTTCTAGGAAATGGAGTTATTTTTTCCTTCGAGTGGAGTCTGTGGACCAGCGAACTCTGCTAAATTTACCAATTGTACTTGTTGCATTATTAAGCCCCATGCCATCAGCGAAGGTAAGTGCTGTGTCAAGTACAACATGTCCAATTCATTGTGTTCATAGGAACTTATGAGCAAATCCTTTTGGAAATGAGATGGGATGTAATTTAAAAATCATCCTGAAAAAACTAGAATATCCTATATAATGAAAGCCTAATATGCTAAGTGTCCAGTTGTCTGGTCAGCTGTTTAACCAATCAAAGCATAATATGCTAATGATATGCTAAGGCCACTCAACTGCTCCCTATGATGTGCACTGACCACCAGGGGGCAGATACTCCGACCAGTAGGTTAGCTTGCTGCTGGGATCTGGCAGATCGGGACTGAGTGAGACGGGCCAGACATGCCCTGGAGCCCTCCGTCGGTCCCTCCCTGGCTGGCCAACCTCCCACGTCCCTCCCCGGCCCCCTATCATGCACTGTTGTGGGTCCCTCGGCCTGGCCTGTGCCTTTTCACAATTCGGGACCCCTCGGGGGATGTCGGCACCAGGGACCCCACTGGTGCACGAATTCATGCACCGGGCCTTTAGTACTAAATAATAAACATAATTGAATGGATTAATTTTTTTCTTAGTATTAAAATAATTCAGGTACACAGTAGAAAATATAAAAAAACATTTAAGTTACTTGTTTTTCATTATTCTGAGTCATTGTTCACATTTTGATATTTCCTCCAAATCTTTTTATTCTGCATATGTATATATATGTGTGTAACTGACACATGTGAATGTAATTAACATGTTTAAGATATAGGTCTATAGGCAGATCCTTGGGACCGTAATTAGAGGGGAGCAACATGCATGATGGGTAATAAAAATTTATGGAGAACTTACCACTATGTGCCAGGTAGCAGACTGAACACCTGTACACTATCCCTTTTAATCTCAGTAATCATGTCAAATAGATGGGTTTGTCATTCTTTCCCAGGTACATGAGGCTCTATGTGAATAAGTCATTTCCCAGTTTAGTAGGGAAACCAAGATGCAGACACTGGTCTCCTGTCACCTCTAGGTTTTTCCTCTACACCCACTGCTCTGCAGCAGTCATGGCAGAGCATCACGTGGTATAGCAGTAACATTTGAAATGGCTGGGGTTGACAGTCTATGAAGAAAAAGGGAATTTTATGTTACCCTCACTTTTCTTACCTGGGCATGGACACACACACACACAATCAATCAATCAATATACAGACACATTCTAATGTGATGAGCCAAGTTCCTGTTTAAAGGCCTCAACTTTATAAAAAGCTTATTTTTGGCATCTTAATACATTCAATTTGATCTTTATCTGATTTTATTTTTTCTAAGGAAAAATGTGATGCATGGAAAGAGAAATAAAATAGAATACTAGTTATAGCTCTTAATAATTGCATAGATAAATATAACAAATCTATTTAAAATGATTATATAATTGAAAGATGATGTCACATGACTAATTTTATATTTACACAGGTTTAAATCATTTTCAGTCAGCTGTTTTTTAAAGATTAACTATATTTCATATATTCATATTTGATACATAGCATTTGAGGTAAATGAGTTAAAAGGAAATTTTGTAAAATTTAATCAAGTGGCAAAACAGTTTAAACTTTGGCATTTCAAGTTGTTGTTTTTCCCCCTTTTATTTCTAAACCTCAATTATAGGGATGCTTTAAGACTAGTTTGAAATGTGTAATTAACCCAATTTAGCTTAGAGTTAATAAACTGTGGCTATAATAAAATACAGTTTAAAGTTTCATATTGAATTTATTATTAGATTCACTTGCCCCCTTTCAATGGCTGGTTTATGTTTATCTTTTTCTATAATGATCCCATTTCCTGGCATATTTAATTTCATCCGGGGTCTAGTGTGGATCTGAGAGGAAAAGAGGTTAAAGAAAAAGTTGTTGATAAGAGAGCAGCTGAAAAGAAGTTGGGTTGTTCCCTGAGGCTGACCACCAGCTCCCCCAAAGGCCAGGGTAGCCTGCTGACCAAGCAAAGCGCAGTTTACTGCTGTTCCAGTAAAGAGAGCACACCTGGGCGGAGCCCCAGGAGACACCCCAAGGGCGAGGTCCTGGGCAGACTTTGTGGAGTTCCCGGTCCACCTGGAGAGATTGAAGGTTTCCTGTGAGTGCAGAGATCTGATGGAAACTGGACAGTGTTCGTGAGATCCGAGTTTAGGTTTCGTGGACACAGTGCATCAGGGATCTTAACCAAGTCTTCTAAGTACCCAGTTGTTTGATGTGAGTTGTTTGCCAAGTTGAGAGGATATTGTGAAAAGGGGATCATTTGAGTAGTCTATTGTTGGTGTAAATGGACTTTGGGGAAGTTCCTGACACGTACAATGAAGCCATTTACTGTACAGCCTTATCTTTGTGGCTAGGAATTTCTTAGCACAAATAATAAAGTCATGCGGATGTAGGCGCCTTAGTTCTTAGTCCTGTGGTTAATCTGTATGGATTCAGTGGTTGGCTTCTCACTTCTGAGAGAGCTAGGAAAAAATACAGAGCATACAGAGCGTGGTTTGTGGACTAGATGGCAGCATTCGCGGTCTTGTTATCTATGTCGATTGAAATATCTTTTGTCATTTGGAGGACTCAGATTTTAAAAGGGAAGAAAAATAAGGCGAATATTTTCGTGTTCTTTTTTAACTTCAAGATGATACAGAGCATTTGTTTTGATGTCCTCGGTATTACTTGTATGTAGTTAGTTCAATTCCATTGATAAAATAAGTTAATTTTACCCTGAAATCAGGCTACACAGGCTTGAATCCTGGCTCCACTACTTATTCTCCATGGACTGTTAGGTAACTGACTCAGGTTAATCTCTTTCCATCATCTGTGAAGTGAGATTAGCAGTTTCCCTTCTTCTCAGAGTAACTATGCATTAAATGTAATAGTTAATAACTAACATTAATTAACTATAAGGACTGTCCCAGGTCCAGTGTCCAGCTGAGCTGAGTGCTGCGTCAGAGTTGGACATTCGTACTGTGATGAGTACTCCTCTACCGCTGCCATGACTCCTACTAGTAACTCCTTCGTAACAATGCAGTGGCTTAAAATGCTAACAAAATCCACATCCACACCTGTCACCCACAGAAAGAAAGAAAATCCATCTCATTGTTTAAGGAACTAAGCGCTGTCCTCAGTTAAAGTCTGGTGTAAGGGAAGTCCGTGAAGTGGTCATTGCTTCTGTCTGGCTGACTGGCAGCGTCCTCCGTTACCTGCCTTGATGGCCCGTGAGGCTGGCACTGGGCCCAAGGAGGTGGCGAATCGGGAGAGCGGCCTCTACACTTGCCATGGCCCCCGCGTTAGCCTTTTGAAGTATGAGAGCCCGAATTCTGTGGGAAATTTTTTCTTCAGCAGATTTATGCATTAAACAGTTTGACTGCTTTGTTCATGACATTGTCCTTCCTGAAATTCAGTTTCCTTTAGTCTTTAAACCCAGGTGTTCTCTTACTCTATGAAATTGTGTAGAAAATTCTTGTGAAAGATAATTGTGTTCTGTATCTTAATGTTATGTTTTGGCTGTAAAAAATCTATTTTCATGGAGGCTGTTGGAAAGTAATTTTAGATTTTATTTCTAAAAAGGCATATTGTCTGTCTGCAATTCACTTATTAAGAAGCACATTATTTAGTAGAATATTGGCCAGTTTGTAACCAGAGTTATCTCTGATATGCTAATTGAGCAGGAGGACCGTTCTCAGCCAGGTTATGTTTATCAAGTTTCTTACTTTTATCAATCAGCTCTTCTTACTCAGAGCCTCTTTCAGAGATTCACTTTCCTCCCTGAACGATCATGTGATACTCAATAGACCAAGAGCCCGAGAAACACATCCACCCTGTGGAACCCCCTGAATTTGGGATGATTAAAATGATTGCATCCCCTCCTTTTCTATAGATGATTTTCCTCAAATAATTTAGTCTCTGGAATACTGTGGAAGAGGTGTGAACTTCTTGGTGTAAAGAGATTGGATTTAAACATCGTAAATCTAACTCAGTTTCAATAAAGACTCTCGGAGTGGGCCCAGTTTTGCGTAGCAGGTCATAGTGGCGGAGTTTTGTGGTTGTTTTATGTCCTATCTGAAACATCTTTATAAGATGTGACAGTCAGGGTGGCCTGCAAAGCCTAAACTATGAACTACCTGACCCTTCACAGAAAAAGTTTATTGGCCTTTGCCATACCGTGCATTTTCAATTGGCCCTGCCTAAATTTTGGCATGTGTACCTAACTCTGAATTGTTTAATATTCCGTGAACTTGCTCACTCCAGATTTTTTTTTCTAAGACAAAGATTTTAGAATGTTTAAAACAGCCATTGGAATCTCCTCCCATCTTCCAAGTTATTAATGTGAGAATGTCTATTCTCCTTTCTTTCAAATGTTTTTACTTAACCTTATTGATGTATAAATTACATAGCATAGACACGCATGTTCTAAGCATGCGCTTCTGATGTTATATTACAGCATCTCAAGCTCTCAGTCACGAAGTCCTTCATGTATAAAGTTGGTCTTGTCAGGTGTCTCCCTGGAGACACTCGGAGGATGCGTAGACAGACTGACTGAATCCAGTGTCACTGTGTGAAGGAGGACTGACTAGGCTTACACCAGGCTCCACTCTGCGCCTTTCTGATTAGTGGGGCTCTGTCCATGACAAAGCAATGAGAGGTCGCCCTGTCCGTTATCTTCAGGAGTCAGGCTTGCTCTCCCCACCCGACTGGAATAAAGAAGCAGCTGTTGCTAGGCAGCCGGGCACTAGCACCTAGCAACTGACATGTGAGCTTCAGGAACCCCAGGCTCCCTTCAGAGCTCAGTGATGTGTGTTACAAGCACAAGTCCTATGCTCGTCTGTCTGAATTAGAAGGAGCACAATAAAGGGATGGCCATCAGCCCGTGAAAGTCCTGAGCACCTGGCAGGGGTTATTGTAGGATGTGACGTGCGGATACGATTATCCTTCTATGGCTCGACACTTGCTCAGAGAAATTTCTTAGCCTCTCTAAAGCCTCATTTTCCTCATCTGCAAAATGAGGGTGACAGGACCT